CAACAAAAACCTGGTTGATTAACTGAAATCTCTCCTCTCAGATCAGCTACGCCTCATCAAGTCGTTTACTGAGCAACAAGAATCAGTACAAGTCCTTCATGAGGACCATTCCCACAGACGAGTACCAGGCCACAGCCATGGCAGACATCATTGAGTACTTCGAGTGGAACTGGGTCATTGCTGTGGCCTCCGATGACGACTATGGACGCCCAGGAATCGAAAAGTTCGAGAAGGAAATGGAAGAGCGAGACATCTGCATTCACCTGAATGAACTTATTTCTCAATACTTTGAGGATCATGAAATCCAAGCTCTGGCTGACAGGATAGAGAACTCCACAGCTAAAGTCATTGTAGTGTTTGCCAGTGGTCCGGATATTGAGCCTCTAATCAAGGAGATGGTCAGGAGAAACATCACAGATCGCATTTGGTTAGCCAGCGAAGCGTGGGCCAGCTCTTCCCTTATTGCCAAACCAGAGTATCTTGATGTTGTGGCAGGAACTATTGGCTTTGCTCTAAAGGCGGGGCGTATACCAGGTTTTAGGGAGTTCTTACAACATGTCCAACCAAAGAAAGACAGTCATAATGAATTTGTTAGGGAGTTTTGGGAAGAAACCTTCAACTGTTATCTGGAGGACAGCCCAAGACTGCAAGAAAGTGGCAGCACTAGTTTCAGGCCTTTGTGTACAGGTGAGGAAGACATCACAAGCGTTGAGACCCCATACCTGGACAACACACACCTTCGAATCTCCTATAATGTATATGTTGCAGTGTATTCCATTGCACAGGCCCTGCAGGACATTCTTACCTGCACACCCGGACATGGACTTTTTGCCAACAATTCCTGTGCAGATATAAAGAAAATGGAAGCATGGCAGGTAAAATAATGCACATCTCCTCAACCACAGCTGTTAAATATCTAATTTCTTTTTATATGTGAATCATCAAAAAGTGTGTTTCTGTCCCTCAGGTCCTGAAGCAGCTGAGACATTTAAACTACACCAACAGTATGGGGGAAAAGATCCACTTTGATGAGAATGATGACCCGGCAGCAAACTACATGATTATAAACTGGCACAGGTCTAATGAAGACGGCTCTGTGGTGTTTGAGGAGGTTGGATATTACAACATGCACGCAAAGAGAGGGGCCAAACTGCTCATTGACAGGACAAAAATTCTGTGGAATGGATACAGTTCAGAGGTCAGTCAAACTATTTTGTTGTCCACATTCTCATCAGTGCCTTCCTGTGTTTCCTGTCATTCCCGGTTTTTCCCTGTGTTTATTCACCTTGCACAATATCCTTAAAACTGTCTGTAATTCAATTAACTTTGTAACCTGCAGATAAAGCAGAAGATTTTTACAAACATATATAATAACAACTTTTTAAGACTCCATGTTCTCTGGAAAGCAACTTACACTTAAATTATCTCAATACAAATATTAGCTGCTCAGTATGGTAAATGGGTGTGGGGTAGCTGTTTAATCAGAGCTGTACTTATGGATCAATAAGAGCAGTAATAATGAAGTTAACATAATCGTCTTTCTCTCAATTAATCAATCAATCACTTTTTTTATTTTGTGTAGCCCATATTCACAAATCCCATTTTCCTCAACAATCTTTGTGATATACTCTGTCCCCAATCCTCAAGGTGAGGAGGAGAAAACTACCTAGTACTACTCTCATGCAACCTTTCTGTCCATTGAACATCCTCTAGGTGCCATTCTCGAACTGCAGTGAGGACTGTGATCCTGGCACAAGAAAGGGGATCATAGATAGTATGCCCACATGCTGCTTTGAATGCACGGAGTGCTCAGATGGAGAGTACAGTATTCATAGAGGTATAAAGAGTTCAAACTTTCATATACTCATTTTACAAAATGTATACCTTATAGCTTCTGTTGTAATTTTTAAGATGCACGCACAACATTTTTTTTATTTATACAGATGCCAGTGTTTGCACCAAGTGTCCAAATAACTCCTGGTCCAATGGGAACCACACGTTCTGCTTCCTGAAGGAAATTGAGTTTCTCTCCTGGACGGAACCTTTCGGGATAGCGTTGGCCATATGTGCAGCGCTGGGTGTTGCCTTGACGGGCTTCGTGATGGCTGTCTTTGTCAGATTCCGCAACACCCCAATAGTGAAGGCCACGAACCGAGAACTGTCCTACGTCCTCCTGTTCTCTCTCATCTGTTGCTTCTCCAGTTCCCTCATCTTCATTGGAGAGCCGCAGGATTGGATGTGTCGTTTACGCCAACCTGCCTTTGGGATCAGTTTTGTTCTCTGTATCTCCTGCATCCTTGTGAAAACTAACAGAGTACTCTTGGTATTTGAAGCCAAGATCCCCACAAGTCTCCATCGTAAATGGTGGGGGTTAAACCTTCAGTTTTTGCTGGTGTTTCTGTGCACATTTGTCCAAGTCATGATCTGTGTTGTCTGGCTGTACAACGCCCCCCCTTCCAGTTACAGGAATTATGACATAGATGAGATGATTTTTATCACATGCAACGAGGGCTCTGTAATGGCTCTTGGGTTTCTTATTGGCTATACATGCCTGCTGGCCGCTATATGTTTCTTCTTTGCATTTAAATCCCGCAAACTTCCAGAAAATTTCACCGAGGCTAAGTTCATCACTTTTAGTATGCTCATATTCTTTATCGTTTGGATCTCTTTCATCCCTGCCTACTTTAGTACTTACGGCAAGTTTGTTTCAGCAGTGGAGGTCATTGCCATACTGGCATCCAGCTTTGGGATGCTGGCCTGCATCTTCTTCAACAAGGTCTACATCATCCTTTTCAAACCGTCCCGGAACACCATCGAGGAGGTCAGGTGCAGCACTGCAGCCCACGCTTTCAAAGTGGCGGCAAAAGCTACTTTGAAGCATAGCACGGCTTCACGAAAAAAGTCAAGCAGCACTGGTGGATCTTCTGCCTCCACTCCATCTTCATCCATCAGCCTGAAGACCAATGGCAATGACCCGACTTCAGCAAAGCCGAGGGTAAGCTTTGGCAGTGGAACAGTTACTTTGTCCTTGAGCTTCGAGGAGTCGAGGAGGAGTTCTCTTATGTGATAGAATACGTGTGGATCTGTCAAGTTTCAGCTTCATCTGTTCCATTAATTGAGTTTTTTTACATGTAAAACTTTACATCTTTCCTTTTTCCTCACATTTTGTCGGAAATATGATGTTTCAAAATCCCTCCAACTAATATACTGTACCTGAATCCTGTGTCTTGTTAATGTGTACTAAAACCTGCTAATAATAATCATAAAACATTTTGTACAATTCAGAACTTTATAAGATCTTCATTTGTTTTCAATGAACTCCACCTGGAGAAATGCAAACAATGCAAAGTAATACATTTTTTGTTTGGATAGTCTATATTTTTCTCTACAACACAAGGGACTGCCTGCATTATTATAAAATGCTCAACTGTGGAGCTTGCACTCACTAGAAATAATTCAAAATTCACCCCCAAAATATAGATCTGGGTGAAAGAAAGAAAAAGAAAAAATGACGCTGATGGAGGTCTACGTGGTATTTAGTTTTTTTGAACTATTTCTGCTTGCTTTTCACAAGTCCACAACAACTGCAAATAGTGCAGTGCTATCTCACATGTTAATGTCATTCTCACTATAGACCTACACAACCAACATCATGTCCTCACATTATAGAGGAGCTATAGAGGGGCAGAGGAGCTGGCAAAGGTACTGTACTGACACGACTCTGTCTGATAGTCAACTGTGAAGCTGTGACTATTTCCCAAAAAAGAGACATTTTATGAAGTAATAACAAAATATTATTATGAAAGGGAACATTTTAAATCAGTATTAGTATATTTTAATTTTTATTCCTTCCTTACTGATGGATGAAAAGACAGTTACATTTTAATCTCGTCAATGCTTGGACGCTTATAGCTCTGCAATACCATCCTTTTTGCACTAAAGATTATTAGTTTAAAAATAAGTAGTAGTACTATAAGTATTACTCAGCAAACCTCTGTCCATCACACAGATCTTCTTCAAAATCTATAATCTCAGTGGATGTTAAATGAAATTATAAAAAAGTAGGTAAAAAGGCATTTGAGGACTGCAGCACCACCAGTTTGTATAAAAAGACAATCACACGCTGAGAAGTTCAGTATCGTGGCTGACCTGAAGCAGCTGGACAACCATCTCCTCTGTTAGCAGGAGGAAGACCTTTACCCTCAGAGTCAGTGGCCCCCTGCAGGGCGACCAGCATGATGTCTGTCTCATCTGGAGGAGCAGTGAGACAAGTTAGGACCACATGATCAGAAAGCATTGCATGATGGGAATCTTTGTCACAGTTCCTTGGTTTAAACATATCGTAGCCGATAAATCCCTCATGCCCATCGTTGTATATATATATAATCCTCGCTGTTACATAAATCTATCATCATTCATTTTCTTTAATTGAGTTTTTTTTTACTGACCTTTTATTATTTTAATTTGACTTATTTTATTCACTACTATGTATATTTTTAGTATCTTAACTTTCTTTAACTGTAGTATTTTCTATTATTGATTGCATAGGTATGATTTGCTCTCCAAAATCGAGCTAATTTCTAATTCAAATTTCATTCATCCTACATTTTGCCAGTCAGGTGCTATATAAATAAAGTTTGAATGATTGATTTACTTTATATGGCTGTTTTATAATATTTTGTAATTCATTTACAACTTCATCGGTTGATAGGAATGAACACTGTTTTTCTCTTTAACCCCACTGTCCACTAGGATAGCAACATATTATAATAATTAAGGATATAAAAGGGACCATTTTAAATCAATATCAGGATATCATGCTGATTAAAACATGTCCAGAAATTACATTAGAATTTTTAGCATAGATAAATGCATGATGCATGAATAAAGTTTGAATGATTGATCGACTTTATATGGCACTGGGTGTTTTAGAAACAGGATCTTATTGGTTGATAGGAATTAACTGTTTCCGCTTTATTACCAGTGTCCAGTTAGGAAGCTTTAACTTTGAAAAGCTGGAGCAGGAGTGTGTGTATGTGGCTTGACGGTGTGTTGTGCCTTATGATAACCTGTGATGATGATAACGTTAGTTCAAAATAAGGTTAGCGAGCCACGCCTCGCTCCTGCGTCTCACTGAAATAAAGTCCCGCTGTGTTAACTGTTCGCCCTCACATTGTGCTACAGGCTAAAGCTAATGTTTAACTTGTGCAGCATTTCACAGTTTAACTTTAACGACATCCGCACTCGTCAGCTAGCGAGCAGCTAGCTTGGACGTGTTGGACGGTGAAGAAGGAGGAGAAGGAGCTGACAGCGATGTAAGAAGGTAATGTCACGGATGAAGTGTTTTTGATAAATTGCTTTTAAAAAAACACGGCGAGGCTAGCCAGCCAGAGCTAGCCAGCGTTAGCATGTAACTGTCCCCCAAACAACATCCACGCTTCAGGGTGATGGAGACCTGGTGTGAGGGGGAAAAGCTTTAAACACGTCACAGCTTTGGTGTTACGATCAGTGGGTTTCCTGCTTAATGTGGCAGCCGACACATGGCAGTGAACATCACAGGATCAGTGTTTAATCGTTCTATTTGTTTGCTGTTGGTTACTCAGGTCAGTTGAGCTGATGTTATTATGCTAACGGGTTTTGTTTGGTTAAAAAGCGCTAACATGCGTTTTAATGTAGTTTTGGTCACAGCTGAGTTTGGCTTCCTCCTGATCAATCATACATCTGAGTAACTAATCGACACGCAGGTAACCAGCCAACAGCGATCATGATCAGTGTTTCCTATCGCAGATAATTACAGACTCTTTGTTTTCTGATGCCACTGTTCTCAGGTGCTTTACAGGGATGATGATAGATCAGAAGAATTGATGTGTAGTTAAATGATCATTTCCTCCCTGTTTAATCAGCTGAACTCTTCCCTGTGAGGTAACAGCTGTCACAGCTCAGGTTTCAGTTACACTGTGGACAATGGGATAATAACGTATACAGTTACTGACTATATCATTACCTTTCAGGAAGCCTTTTCAGTAGCTGTTATGAGAATTAGAAATCTTATCTGGTGTTTTGTTATTGTATGAAAAGTAAATGTCTCTTTTTAAAACAGTAACGTGTCACGTAATGGTGTTGTGTTGCACAGGAAGACGTGGCAGTATCAGATCATGCTGTAAAAACATAAATTCTCATTTGTTTTCTCTCTCAATCAATTTACAGATCTCGGAGAACTACATTTTTGGGCTTATCGTCTCAAAGTGGATTTCAAGGGGCCAACAATGGTTTTTCTTTGATAAGTTTGGCTTTCTTCACCGTGATCATTTCAGCGATTGACTGTCCATACCGGCAGCATGTTCCATCGCCATGGGATGACTGGTCATGGAGTCTGAGGCTGTCAGTATTTTTGCTGAAATGTCCTACAAGGATCAAATATCCTAAACTCCAGTGAACAGTCTCTACTGTTGTCCCTTTCAGTGTCTCACATTGGCAAAGTCAAACAGCTATGGGCTGCTGTTCGCCTGTGTGCAGGATTTTGCGCAGGACAAAGTATTTTTTGTTGCTCTTTCTCTCGCTTTCAGTGCTGGCATGGATTGCCACCTTTTCTGGCGAAACTGTGAAATCCACTCAGGAGATCTCCGCCACAACAGAAACTCTTGGCAAAGGAGACACTCTGAGGAATAAACTCAGCTCTTGGACAGCAACACCTGATCACGCAAATACTCCAACACCAAAAGGCGAATGCCCTCAGGAGTCACCTTTGCTACGTAAGTATAGAAGTAAGAGGTGGCAAAATCATTGTGCATGTGTGTTAATTTGATTTGTTTCTGTTAGTTAAAGGAGAAGTCAATGAAATCTGTTTGTTTATGATGCCCATGTTCTCTTTTTCTAAGTTCTCCCCTTGGTAAAGTAGATAAGTTAGCTGTTGTGTAATTAACCAGATAAAGGTTTAGGTGAATTATTAATCTGTGAAATTCCCTTGAACTTTGGTGACGACAGCAGAGGTTAGTTTCTCATAGCTAGTTCTGGTAGATTGTATAAAAGTTGGCAGACAACATTTTAAAGGCAAAATTGTGGGTGTTTCATGTCTGACTTCAATATTTTCTGCATAGAAAAAAGAAATAGAAGAAATAGCTTGAAATGACAAAGGTGGAAAATGTTTTACTCTATTCAGCACATAATCATTCAAATGTGAATTAATCTGCTCACTGTGTTAAAAGAGGATGATCACACCCCTGTGTCTCATATTTCTGCTTAAATGGGATGACCTTGTTTCTGCAGAGGGAGCTGTGAAGCTGTCATTTGAATCCTCTCTCAAACTGAAGGACGTGGAGAGTGAGAATGAAGCAGTGACTGAGGGACAGTATGAGCCTCCGGGTTGCACGGCGAGGCAGAGCGTAGCGATCCTCATCCCTCATCGCAACCGAGAGAGACACCTCCTCTACCTCTTGCACCACCTGCATCCCTTCCTGCAGAGGCAGCAACTACATTACGCCATTTATATAATCCAGCAGGTATTCTTCCACAATTTCATATGCATTAATAATTACACTTTTACTATTAGGTATTGTTTAAATTAGATTAGGCGTAGTTAAAGCTCCTGCTTGTAATTGCTTTTCTTTGTTTTTTCCTACCAATTTATTTGCTAAAGTTTATCTAAAGTTTAAGTTAAAATGATCAATTATTTGTTTCAGATAACAAAATATCAAGCAAATAAAACATTAAACCTGCAAGTAAAAACAGACATTGATTAGACCTTTTGTTACTCTTCATTAAAAATCTGTCGGGCACCATTTTTCATATCTGTGTTTTTTAGTGGAGACATAATAGTAATAATAACTGCATTTGTATAGCATTTATCTAAACAAAGTTACAAACTTGGAACAAGACATAAAAAACAAGACATCTAAAAAAATCTAATGAAGGCAAACATGTTCACACTCCAAAAGCAAATAGTCATGTTCTCAGTGCTGGAGATAAAGGGATTATTATAAGTAAACAGAAGGCAACCACAGAACAGGTGCAGTATGCATGTATGCTTAGGTAGCAGGTTCAGAGCACACAACAGCTGCAGCATTAAAAAAGATTCAACATTTACACACCAACTATGAAGTTTACTGCACAGTTTCATATCGGACCATAATGTTATTGTTTCCTTTTTTTTAAGGCTGGCGTTAAAACCTTTAACCGTGCCAAGTTATTAAATGTTGGGTATTTGGAGGCACTGAAGGACTACAACTGGGATTGTTTTATCTTCCATGATGTGGACCTGGTTCCTGAAAATGATCACAATTTATACGTCTGTGACAAGCAGCCCAAACACTTGGTGGTTGGTCGGAATGCCACAGGATATAAGTGAGTATATGACTTTGGGTTAATTCCTGTAAAGCTATGAGTCAGTAGTTAAACCTTATGTTATCTTTGTGAATAAACAACAGAGCATTAACGGATGACAGTCTCCTCTGGGATGATATTACCTTGAAAGGCCTAAACATTGACCACCTGTAATTCTTCTTCATAATCTTTAACTCTCAGGTTACGTTACAAAGGCTATTTTGGAGGAGTCACAGCCATGACCAAAGAACAGTTTCTGCAAGTGAATGGATTCTCAAACACTTACTGGGGTTGGGGGGGAGAGGATGATGATCTTCGCATCAGGTAAGACAGAAGTGGAAATAATTTGAAATCATTTGGGTTTGTTTGTGTCAGTGTGCAGCAGATTGATGAAGGTGCATATTCCTTCATTCATTCGCTGATGGATGTATCTGCTGTCTCACGTAGGGTGGAGCTGCAGAAAATGACGATAGTGAGGCCGCCCACTGATGTAGCTCGCTATACCATGGTGTTCCACAAACGGGACAGTGGCAATGAAATAAACAAGGACAGGTCAGTAATTGGGATAATGTTTTCTGCTCGTTTCAGCATAGTATAGGGTAAAATATGAGCCTTGGCAGGATCATTTTTTATATTTTTTTCTTTTAATCTGTTTTTTTAATTATTTCTTTTTCTCTTGTTTTCACGAATTTAAAAGAAAAAGTGTATATTATGATGGAGTTACAAAGGTCTCTCCTTAAAGGGGGGTTAAATTAAAATGTGGATCATCTTGTTAAAGGTCCAGTGTGTAAGATTTCGGTGTAAGGGAACTATTAGCAGAATTTAATGTATAACTCTAATGATATTTTCACTAGTTTGTTTCATCTAAACTGTATGAATTGTAGTTTTCTTTACCCCAGAAAAGGTCCTTTATATTTAAATACTTTCTATTTACATGGAGGGGGGTCCTCTCTGTGGAGGCGGCCATGTTTTTTACTGTCGTCCAAACTGGACAAACTAAAAACTTTTGAGTTGTTATGACAATTGAAGGCTACCACTTCTTCTTCTTGTTTGGAAGGGGAGGGTGAGACAAGGGGTGTTCAGCTGCAACATGCAATTTCAACACTAGATATCACAAAATTCTACACACTGTACCTTTAAGTTATACTTAAGAATAGCTTTTACAAATGACAAAACACTTAATATATCTTTTGGCTCATCAGCACGACATTATCATAAGTATCAAGACTACCTCTGTTTTTTTCTTAAATATAACCATATTACTCTGTCATAGTATATGTATATAAGCCTAAAAACAAATCCTATTTTTCTGAGATAGAAAAATAACTTAGAAATCTATCCTGGTAAAAAGGTTATTCATCCTTTGTGCTGTAAATTTCATCTCTTGCATAAGCTCTGTTCTTGTTTTCTCTCAGGATGAGGTTGTTAGGACGAACACGGCAGGTCTGGAGAAAGGATGGACTCAACAGCTGCTCATATAAGACTTTGTCAGTCGAGAGGCTGCCTCTTTATGTGAATATGACTGTGGACATTGGTAAGCCATAGAGTTAAGATTTCTAACTGGAAGCCCTACTCTGACCAAAAATATTTTATGATTTATTGTATACACTATACCAGGCTGAGTGCAGAAAATCTGCTACAGTTATAAAACACAATCAACACACAAAATGCACACAGTTTCAGTTTTCATTAAATAGTGGTAACCACATTAGTTGGTACATCTTTTCACAATAATTTTGCATATCATGCTTCCTCCTTTCTTTCATATTAAAACCGGGCTCTCTCCATAATGAGTCGGAGCATCCTGCAGAAAATGAATAAATAAAACTGATATATAGATGTAGATCAAATGAAGAAATTGGTCATAGATATTCATCATATCTACATTAATTCATGCATATGCCTTATTATTTGCCTTCCTGATATATCACAGTGTGAAACATGCTGATATGTTGTGTCTAAAGTCCTGTAACACTGTGTGTATTTTGTGCACTTCATTCTCTGGATACATGGAACTCACAGTCAAGTGTGGTTTCACCTATTTTGCCTGAGCCAGATAACCGAACACTAGTGTTGGTTAGCAGTCTGTAAGAGGAAGTTGATGTTTAAGTTTGAATCATACCTTAGTAGAGAGGATTTATTTCAAATTGACATGTTCATGATAAACTGTAGACTCCGTGTAATCTGAGGTAAAGTTAAAACTGGTGCATTAAAGCTACATAATTTGAGTTTTCACCACCAGATGGCAGGAACACCAACTAACAGCAACATAGCAATACTCTAATCTAGTAACCATACACTTTACACTTTTTTTGTTTTACGGTGTTGAAGCACAGAAATGTTGTTAGGCTTTTTCTTTTAGGTCAATAAACANGCATAAGCAATAATAATAAACGGTGATCTTATCGAGTGATATTCAGTTAAATATGTTGAAAAAAGTTATTGGTATCACAATGTAGGTTATATTCACAGTGAAATAAAAAAGAAATAAACCTCAATCATTTTTTGAGCATCACCAACTTAAAAAGAAAACAGGCCTGCTTTACAGAACGACCATGTTTGGATGTTTTGGTCCATGTTAGAGCCATTATGATAAGGTTGTTTATTATACTGCATGTCTTATTTTGTGCAAGGCCTTACATGCTTGATTTTGAAGCAGATATTAATGGGTGGTGGATTCTTATTTATTAGTTCAACTTTTTTTTTTTAATGATAATTGTTAACTTTTGAGACTGTCAATGTATTTTTACTCTCATCACATGTGAAGACAGTGGAGGATAATTTGCACACTAATGCTTTGATCACTGCATGCTATGTGTCTGATACACACATATCAAACCTGTTAATCAGTAAAATGTATTTTTAACCTAGTGTAGCTGCTGGTATGTTACAACTACATTATGTTTTTACTTTATTTACTGCAAATGAGCAATATTACTGACATGGTTAGAGTTTACTTAAGCCACCTGTTAAATTTTCATGTTCCTTACTTTTCAATTAGAGCTTCATGGCAACTACAGCTGCTCTAATTTATAATTCCACACACACAGACATGTTCTGTTTGTGTGAGTTGTTTTATCAACTGAACGACTCTTAAATCTGCAGTATGTTGTTACCATTGTTGTACATTTCAAGTATTAGAAAGTAGCCTGATGGTCTGTTCATTTCACGATTATTCCTCCACTCCCGAACAAATGCATTCTTTTCTACTTGTTCAAAACTTTTGTAAGTGAAAAAATTCTTAAGTGCACAAGATAAAACTACAACTTCCTTTGTAAAATGATCACAACCGAGCAAGGTCGTGGTTGTGATGTAGCATCAAGCATTTCACTGACATTTTTAAAATTACATTCTATAATTTATATGAATAATTGTATGAAATTCAAATGGATGCCATATTAACTGTTTGAGAGTTTCATTTGATTGAGTTTGAAGGTTTGAATGTATGTTTGGATGATTTGACATGTTTTGTTTGTGTTGAAGAGAGAACATTGATCATGTTAGAGGTGGAGATTATGCATTACACTCCCAATAGGATTATTTTCTCTTTAACACAGATTAAATAAATGGTCTAGTATTTTCTTATCAATCAACTTGTGGTTTCATGTGTTTTAGGGCAGAGGTTTCCTCTGCCAAGGACAAGATATAAAATATTTAGTATTCTGTAATTTTGATTGTTAATTGTAATTGCAGTGGAAGCATCTATAGTTTTGATAACACAGTTTTGGTTGAATCTGAATAGAGATGCACCTGAATATCACAGTGTTAGTACAAAAGTAACTGACAAGTAGTTCACAGTATCATCACTAAACAACACACTAATGGAAAAATCCTGAAGGTTTTTGAGGGGATTTATCTAGTTTTTGTTGCAATCAGTAGATCTGTAAGTTCTGAATACAGTATATTAGTTGTTAGAATCAGAGCAATGATACATTTGTTATTATTCATTTTATTAGGTGTTTGTAACACATCAAATTTGACTCCATGTGTTTTGTGAAACTACAGTTGAGCTAAAAGGTAATCATAAAATTACAAGGGGAAAATCTCACTTGAATTTAACTTAATAACCGATGTGCTGGCACAGTGCAAGTGTGCATGGTTCATATTCACAAGTCCTGGTTTGACAGATCTGCTCGATCTTGGTGAGTAACGCCTTCTTTAAAATGTATTATATTCATCTTCAAATCAACAATATCGCATTCATAAAATGTGTTTTGTCAGTTTCTCATCATTTCCATTCCCTCACATTAGCAGAAGAGGAATTATGCTGCAGATCTGCAAGACATTGCATCACTCTGAGAACATGTACTAAAAGTAAGGACAAAGAACAACCCCTTGTTACTCGGATACAATGAAACGTCTTCTCAACGTCACAGATTTTTTTAAACCAGTATGCAAAGAAAGAGCGGGATGGACAGAATGATGTCATCTCCTCTTCCTATGGTGCAGAAAGAAGGCTTTGTCTTGTCGAGGCTGAGCCTGGTCGTGTAGCTCACATGTGACATGCACAAAATACTTTCAGCACAAAAACAAAGACTCCGCAAGTTAGAACACTTGAATACTACAAGAAGTATTCAGTGGTTGTCTCAATATGTACTGTGTTGTTCCATCTTGTAAATATAGTAAACTGAATGTAAGAATTCACCAGCGCCATGTTCACATCATTATTTACAACAGCAAGGAGCTCAACAGAGCTTCAAACTGAATATACAATCCAGACTTTAACTACACGTCCAAAGGTGCTGGTTGAATTTTGAATTCACACGTTTGCTAAAGATTTAACTGTTGGCTGGAAACTAAGCTTTTTAAAAAACTGATTTAGCAACCGTGCTTGACAATGTTCAATTATTGTGTTGCAGTATTTCACAACAGCCCGGGAGCTCTGTGATTCTACTGTACAGCAAGAAGATCCAGCATCCTTTCAGTGGTTGATCCAAGCAGGTCAGTTCAACTTAAAACTCAACAGAGCCAGCACATATGAAGACGTGTTTGTGTTTGTTGCTTTTCCTTTAAGCTACTGCATTTCAAATACACCCCCACCAGTTCCCACCCCACCAATGACCCCCATTATCTTGAATAGGAATTTGCAGATAAAGCAGATGGATGCTCTCTTAACTCCAAGTAGACTACTTTGAGAAAACAAGAAACTACAACATACATTCAAGCTGCTAAATGAATATTTGCAAATCGTATGATGACTTATATCTGAACTGGTAGTGAGGGATCACTCAGCCCTGGAGGTTTTCTCATCTCGATACTGATCTTTTTATTTTATCTTTTAGATTTTCAGATGCACAATGTTACTCTCATCCTTCACTCAATTGTTTCTCACTGTCGTTTTTTGCACGAAAACTCAGAGACCAAAACAGAGCTGAAACAGACAGCTACTTTCCACTGCCCTGAAGTTGACAAAAATCTATCATTTAAGGTATTTATATACTAAGTCGAAAGCATCACTTGAATATGCAATTTAGACATTTTTAATGATGCATTGGAGGAATTGTTTGAGATCAGAAGCATCAAATCTACTGGCACCTGCTTTCACCTCTTGAGGCCAGGGAGTGTCAAAACCCAAACCAGATTTGGATCAGACGTGTATATGTTTAAAACCAAGTGAATTACTTTTGTCAGTATGGTTTAAGCAGCAACGGTAGACACACTATTATACCTAATATATTATCTCAGGGAAAGTTCAGTATTTTACGACAGTAAAATTTCACACCACAATTTATATAATTTGGTTTTAGGGTCGGTAATTGTCCATATGAAAGTGATACTGTCAAAGGCAACATGTTGGAGGAATAAATCACCACTAGACTGTGAGTTTTACATGATCCTTCTCATGCAGTGCTTTCCATTGTAATTGGATTACATTTACTCACACAGGAAGTGACAAATACTTGCAGAACTGAATGAAAGTCTTATTTATTTTATAAAATGAACATAAGTCATACATCTTCTTAATGTTGTCACTAATTATGCGTTTGTTGTAAAGTTATTATCCCTTTTTCAAAAGAAAAAGATGACATGCATAGCTGTGAGTAACAAGAACCATGTGTGCCCCCCGATTTCCCCCCATTTCCCATCTGTGCCCTTCAGGCCCTCACTTCAGTCGCCTCCCACTTCCCTCTTCCTTCAGAACTCGTCTGTTTTTGTTTTCGATCCCGGGCTCTTTGCACAGGAAATTGTATACATAGGGAGCATTCAGGAAGGCAGAGAGCAGCTTTCCCGTTAGCTCCGAGTTTGGGCACATGAAAAAAAAATGGGATAAAAGAGTCAGTAATTCTTAAACCAGGAGAGAAACAGAAGTCAGCTGTTCTCCTCCCCTCACTTCACTTCCCTCCCCTTCACACAGTCTCAACATTTCAAAAATCCCTGCCACACCACTGCCACGAATCCACCTCTAAACTTAGAATATTTGAAAAATGTTGAAATCAGAATGAAAATAAAAACTAATGTCCCTGGGGGGGGTTGCGTCTCTTGATGCCCCCTCAGCTACAGAGAAACCAGTGAAAAGGGGAGACTGTGTGGAATGAAGGAAAAGAGGAGGAGATAAAAAAAAAAGGAGCAGAGAGGGAGAGAGAGACTGGCTGGGGGTGAAAGAACAACAGGAAACCAACCGATTCTAATGCTGTTTCTGCAAATCTCCTGGAGATAACGCAGTGGACTGCCACGTCCCAGCCGAGCTGCAGCCACACCGTGTGTTTTGCTCTGATCATCACTTGAAATCATGGCAATCTGAAAGACGTAAAAGTTTAAAACGTGACGTCACTTCTGCTCTCAGCCTCCGACAGGGTGGTCAGTCAGACTGTGAGCGGATGCAGGAGTTTTGGGAGCCGAATGCTGGGATTTCTATGTCGCTGCTTTTTGACCTACAAGCTCAAGCTTTTTTTCCGGGGTCATATGGATCGATCGCTGTGCCGTCAAGGAGCTTTTCATTGTAATCATCTGGACTAACTAACTGGAGCCACATGAAGAATAAAGGGACAAAGCAGAAGTTGAAAAAGAAAGGAAGTGAGAATGCGTTCGGCTGTGACTTGACAGAACATCTCCAGAACTCAGGACAAGATGGTAAAACTTTTTTGTTTTGCCTTTTCTAAAAATTACAACACTTGTTAGAAGCAGCTTTCATCATACTACACATGATTTCTTTCATCAGATATGACTCCTATCATATAAGAAATGCAGAGTTTGTTATATACGAAGCGTACATTTGTTTTATATATAGGAAGACCATTCATTCACCCATTGGCTGTATTAAATGGTCATTTCTGACTTTGGGTGTGGCTCTTACATTTTCTTGTGTCAATTTCGCACAGCAACTATAGTGACTTTCACCACTTTTGTGTCTGACAAAAGACAAAAGACTAGGCGGCA